TGCTCGTGGTAGCAGCAAAACGTGCCCATATTCTTCGTAGGCTTGTAACTCGACTGCCTCGGCATTGGCTTCAGTATCAAGTGTTCTGTGCTGAGGTAAATGGCCATGCATGTGGCGTTCAAATGTGTGTATGTCTCATACCTCGGAGTAGGGCCTATCCTGACACGTGATTGGCCCACTGTGTTGACTGCCTGGGGGCGAGCATTATCGTGGTGATACCCTTGGTTATCGCGATAGTGTCCCTTACTCATTTTACTAAAATGAGACTGGTGAGGATGTAAATATTTCCTTTTGCCCTGAGGTTGATATGTTTGTTGACTTAGCGAAGTATTAAGTAAGGTAGGAGGAGGCACCGCTGCCGTTTGGAAGGTCGAGATCTTCTCATTTGGTTGGATCTGGCTTTCACTCCCTACTTGCTGATAAGGGGTGGTTGTGAGAGGTTTCCCTTGATATGTCCTTGCCTCAGCGGAGGCTTGGTTATAAGCCTATGTCATCACCTCAGAGTAAGTCTTCCAAGTGTTGGCATTGATCATGTACTTGAAGAAACAATCATGTAGGCCTGCCATGAAGGCTTTGAGGACAGTCTTGTCATCTGCCTCGGTTCAACGGGAATACTCATGGTTGAAACGGCCAGCATACATACATGACTCATCTGGCTTCTGGTGAATAGTGTACAAGTCATCCGCAGAGTGCAAGCGATCGGTCTGGAAAATGTGTTGAGAAACAAACAGTTTTCTCAATTCCTCAAATGAGTTTACCGTCTCAGGGGAAGAGAAGACATCGCTCTTTGTCAGTGTGCAACCAGTATGCCATGGTGGACTAAAAGAGATTAAGGTTTTCAATCGGGTCCTCCTTTCCAGTATAGAGTTACAAGCCAAGCTTCTGCTTTGTCTTTGCTTGGAGGGGGTGTCAAGGATCCTCCTTGTAAGAGGGCCAGGCCTAGGTTGGTTCCAATCAGGTATCTCAACTTGTCGTTCGGCCTTCAACTTATTTACTTCCTTAAGGAGTTGTAGGACAAGAGGGTCCTGAATGGAGTCATGTACCACTGGAGCTTTCTTTCGTAAATCTTCATCTCCTCTTAGAAGTAGGAAGGTTTGATCAAGAGCATGTGATTTTTCCCTGGACTCGCCATATTGGCTTCCAATGTATGTCTGTCGGAACATCTCTGAGTCCCTTATACCTTCGTGTTCCTCTAGAACTTGTTTCCCATTCCCCAAATTGGTAGCTGGCCTGGGACATGGGAGGGGAACGAGTCTTTCACAGACCCTTGGGTCATTGATCTTCGAGCTTACATGGATGGGATTGTCTCGACGTTGCTTTATGAAGTCTCTATAGTCGCGAAAGACGGCTTTCGATCCTTCCACTCCTTTTATAAGGGGGTGCCTTCCTCCACTCCTCTTGTCTCAGGTCAAAGCAACTGGGTTGAGAGAAGTCTCATGTTGGTCGCCATTTCGATGAGTAGGTCGCTCCTCAACAAGAATACCCATGTCGAGGGCAAATGACCCTCTGTTTTGGGGGGCACCCACTTGATGGTTGACTTTCACAAGGGTGATGAGCTCGTGTGTTTTAGTATATCTAGCCTCATGGAGCATCTCGAAGACCTTCTCATACTGCTCTTGGAAGATCTAATTCTTCATCGCTATCTTGTTGTTCTGAGCTTCCAGCTCATCGACTTTAGCTTGAAGAGAAAACTTTTTTCGTTCCTTTTTTCGTTGCTTTGCACCAGGTACAAGAAGGGTGTCATTCTATGTGTTGTGGCTTCCTTCGCTCCCCATGTTGGAAAGGGATGCCTGGTCAAAAGAGATTGTACGAATGGTGGAAACCAACTTAACAAAGTTGAAGAGAGTGAGAATAAGTGTCGTTCCCACAGACGGCACCAAATGTTGATGCACAAAATAAGTGAGGACTTTGGTACAACAAAAAATGTTAAGTTTGTGACCTTTGCTAGATTGCTCCGGTCACTAGTGTGGGTAAGTATGTAAATAGATAGAGACAGGGAAGCAAACACAAGATGTACGTGGTTCACCCAGATTGGTTACGTCCACAGAGTAGAGGAGTTCTCATTAATTGTGAAGGGTTTACACAAGTACATAGGTTCAAGCTCTCCTTTAGTGAGTACTAGTGAATGATTTAGTATAAATGACCATTTGACATTGACACGTGTCGTGTTGTGATTGGCTTCTGATGTTGACACGTATCGCGCTATGATTGGTTTCTGATGTCGACACGTGTCGCGTTGTGATTGGCCTTCTGGTTTGAGGGAAACTCTTCGAGATCCTTAACGGTATAATGTTAACCAGTGCTCAGTAGTTTCGGGATTGGTCAAGTATGGTACAAACAGAGTTCATGATTCAACTAAATCAGTTAGTACCCCTTTGGATCCTTATTATAAATTGAGTTCTCTACAATGTCCTAAAATTGATAAAGAGAAGTTGAAAATGAAAAATATACCATATGTTGATTTGTTTGGTAGTTCGATGTACGCAATGGTAAGATCTAGATCGGATATTGCTCATGCAGTTGGTATGGTGACTCGATATATGCACAATCTTGGTAAAGGGCATTGGCATGTAACTAAGTGGACGTAGATGTATCTCCATTGTACTAGAGATGTTGGTTTATGCTTTGAGAGGGATGACTTTAGTATTGGCAACTCTGCAGTCGGTTATGTTGATTCAGATTATGCAAGTGATTTGGATAAATGGGAGTCTACTACAGGTTATTTGTTTACTATGGCTAAGGGGGTAGTTTGTTGGAAGTCCATTTGCAGTCGTCTTTTGCCTTGTCTACTACATAAGCTGAAAATATGGTAGTTTTGAAGCTATTGATAAGCTCATATTTATATATATTTTACATCAAATTCACTTGTCTTTTCTTAGTTAGTTCCTTATATTTTTGAGCTATTTACTTTGTTTTCGTGTTTTGTAGGATTTGTCAAGCAAATAAAAGAAAAATAGCACAAGTGGGATTTTAAGTAACAAATTCGTCAAAACTGCCTGTGCAGGTCAGCTGACTTTGGAAGCAAGTTGCGAACAGCTCAGAATTAATTAGAGAATGAGCCTTATATGCTTGGAAAGCTATGGATGTCTCTTTTCTGGAACATTTCGCGGATTGTTAATATCTTTTTTCTAGAAGAAGTTATGGCCGTTTTAACACTGAAAGGTTTTCAAGATGCTGAGCAGTTTGTAACTGCATTGAAGGCAATAAATCCAATAAAACTAGCAGCCAAAACTGATGCAGCCAAGAACAAGCCAGCTGACACCTCTTCAAATATCAGATGAAATGGAATTAAAGATGAGGATTAAGTGGGAGTAATTGGCATAAAGGTTGCCCAAAAAGTTACAATTGTTTTACCATTTCCTCTCACTTATTGTCATCACTAAATGGCTGTTAGTGGGGTGAGTTATGGAGCAGAAATGGGGCAGCAAGCATGGGCATAAAGGCTGCAGGTTGCAGCAGCAAAAGAGAGTTCTTTAGAGGAAAAAAAATAGAAAAAAAGGAAGGAAATGAAGGAAAAAAGGCAAGGCTGCTGCGTTGAGAAATGAAGGAAAGGAAGGAGGAAATCTTGGCATTCTCTTCTCTCGGTTTTATCTTCTCAAACTCGTGTCTTTCTTTTGGTTTATTTTGAGAACTATGTGTAACTAATTTTTTAGAAGTTAGGGGCTGTTTTGAAGCCCCGAATATGATTGCAATTTTGTTATGACATTTCGTTGATTTACTTTTATGAATGGATGAAACTTGGTTCACTACTTGTCTCATTGATGAATTCTTGATTTGTTTTCTATGGATGCATACGTAGTAAGCATATCTAGGATTCTAATGCTATGAATATGTGTGTGCCTGCCCTTGTCGAATGAGGACCTACATATGTTCTAAAGTAGTACTTGTTAATTGCGATTAACATGTGAACCAATTTCTAGGATAAGTAAGACAACGCCAGTACTTACGATGCCTTGTGATGACTTAAACTCTTTTCGTTCTTAATGATTTCTACTTGTTAAATCTATGAACACGCCATTCTAGATTGCATGCTAGGGACTAAGTTAAGTTGAAAACGCCATTCTCTTAACATACTACGTAAGAAAGAGTAATAGGTTGAGTTCTAACATTAAGCCAACTTGAGCATCTTCATCTGGAAATAAAAGAAATTTGAATGAAACATAACATGTTTCCATGATTATTGGTGGTGGATAGCAATACCCCTAACTCGTTTTTCTTAATTTGTGAACTACTTAAAATTTGTTTATATCCTGTTTTTGTTCAATTTAATTTAAATAGCAAATCAACTCCAAAAATCCCAAAACTTTGTGTGAGTGTAGCTTTGTGTGTCTAGTATCTGCATATAAAATTTCGTAGACTTTAGATAAGTATAAGTCAGTCTAATAATTATTTTTCGGTGGCTGGTCAGTAGGGACAGCAACCCAGTTTTTGTGACATTTTAGGTAGTTAGATAAAACAATCTTCTGCGGGAAAGACCCTTATTTTCATATGCTACAATTGACAAATCTTAGTGTTAATAAGGAAAATCAATAGGACATTTGTGTGCTACTTTGTGGTGTGCTTTGAATCCTATCAAATTTTTGGCGCCGTGTCGCCGGGGATTATTATTTCTAATTACTTATTTTTCTGGTGTTTTCTTTTCTTGTCTCATTAGTGTTTTTGTTTTTGTTTTTATTTCAGGTACTCTTCGTAGTATATGCATACTCGAAGGTCCAAGAGCATTGATCTAGCTTCGTACGATCTTGAGCTTGAACGAACACTTCGAAAGCTTTAGAGAAAAATCAAGCCGAAGCGTGCATCGGTGTCCTTACCACCATCTTCTCCACTACATTTGAGTTCTAAAGAGGAGGAAGAACCACAAGAAGGCATGGCTGATAACCGTATTTTGAGGGAGTTGGCAACGCTGAATACGGATCAACAACCATTGTGCATCACCTATCCAAATGCAGACGGAGGATTTGAGCTCAAGTCCGGCATGATTCACTACTTGCCTAAGTTCCATGGCTTCTCAACAGAGGATGCCCAACAAGCATCTCATGGAGTTTCACGTGGTATGCTCGGGAATGAGACCAGCAAATGTGGATGAGGAGCAAGTCAAGTTGAGGGCATTCCCATTTACATTAGAAGCCAAGGCAAAGGAGTGGCTTTACAATTTACCTCCCGGATCAATGAACACATGGAACCAGGTGAAGCAAGCATTTTTGGAGCAATATTTTCCGGCCACAAAAGCTGCAAGCATAAGGAAGGACATATGTGCAATCCGACAACAACATGGAGAGCCCTTTGGAGATTACTATGAGCGATTCACACATTTGGTTGCATCTTGTCCTAATCATCAAATTTCAGAGCATCTTTTAATACAGTATTTTTATGAAGGATTATGTGGTACTGATCGTGTATTGCTTGATGCAGTAAGTGGAGTAGCATTCATAGACAAGACACCAACTAATGCTAAGGCATTGCTAAAGAACATTGCTGGCAACACACGACAATTTGGAGGGAGAGATGAGCTACCTTTTAAGAAAGTTAACGAGGTAAGTGCTAACTCTAGTATTGAATTACAATTAGCTAACTTGACTAATCTTGTGCAACAAGTTATGGTGGCTCCAAAACAGGTGTGCGGTGTATGTTCAATGATGGGACATGCCACGGACATGTGCCCTTCGTTGATAGATCAAGGTGGTCTTGAGCAAGCTAATGCGTTAGGAGGATTTCAAGGGCAACAAAGGCAAAAGTATGATCCATATTCCAACAACTATAACGCAGGATGGCGCGATCATCCACACTTAAAGTGGAACAATCAAGACAACGGACAACAATCTGTTCCCAACAACTATAACCGTCCGCCTGGCTTTTTTCAAGCAAGACCGCAGGCACCATTTCAGCCTCAACAACAACAAGCTCCAAGTAAGTCTCTTAAGGCTTTAATTGCTTCTTTAGCTAACTCTACTCAATCTCATCAACAGAAAACAGACAAAGCAATTGAAAACCTTGAGCGCCAAATGAGTCAGTTAGCAAGTTTGATGGGGCAACAACACCAACCAGGAAGGTTGCCTAGTCAAACCGTGATGAATCCAAATGCGGAGCAGATGAATGTTGTGACTTTAAGGAGTGGAAAAGAAGTTTTTGAGCAATCGAGGATGCAAAAGAGGACTAGAAAAGACACAATTGAACAAGGGGAGCTACAAACCAAGAATCTTGAGCAAGATGAGGCTTCAACAAAAACTGAAAAGTCTCATAAAGATACAGAATTGAACAAAAAAGATTCTGATAAGGTAAGTAAAGAAGTTCAAAATTCATTTAACTCATGTGTCCCTGTTCCTTTTCCTCGTACGTTTATGAAGTCTAAGAAAGAGCAAATTGATAAGGAAATCTTGGATACTTTCCGGAAAGTCCAAGTGAACTTACCTCTTTTAGATGCCATAAAACAAGTTCCCAAGTATGCAAAGTTCCTTAAAGAGCTTTGTACGAACAAGAGGAGATTGAATGATCAAGAAACTGTGGCATTGAGCGAGGAAGTATCAGCTGTTTTACAGAGAAAGCTGCCACCGAAGTTGAAAGATGCCGGTAGCTTTACCATTCCATGTGTAATCGGAGGGAAAGAGTTTGGGAGAGCATTGTGTGATTTGGGGGCATCCATCAATCTGATGCCATATTCAGTGTATGAGTCATTGAACCTTGGAGACTTGAAGGAAACAAAGGTAGTAATCCAGTTGGCAGATCGTTCAAATAGATATCCCAAAGGCCTATTGGAGGATGTACTTGTGCAAGTGATGCTCATTTTTCCCGCTGACTTTTTTGTTCTTGAGATGGAACACGACCCTATGCCTACTGCACTTCCTCTTATATTGGGAAGACCATTCCTTAGAATGGCACGTACGAAGATTGATGTCTACAATGGTACCTTAACCATGGAAATTGATGGGGAAAGCGTCAAGTTCAGAATCTTCAATGCTATGAGGTATCCTAGTGAATTAGAATCTTGTTTGTCTCTTGATGTGTTTGACTATTTTGTGCAGGATTGTTTTAATGAAGGTGTGGGACAAGATACTTTAGAGAAGGCATTAGTGCATAGCATTACACATGGAAATTTTAATTATTCAGAGCACATTGAAGAAGAATTAATCCAAACAGTGGCCTCTCTTGAGTCTCTTTCACCCATTTGTGGTAAGTGTTCTTCCTATTTTATTTCTCTTCCTACTTCTAACGAAAAAACTCTTCCTTCTGTGATTCAGGCACCTAAATTGGAGCTTAAACCGATTCCTGAACATTTGAAGTATGCATTTTTGGGAGAGGATGAAACATTACCAATCATCATATCGTCACAACTCACAGCAGAAGAGGGGGAGAAACTGATCCGGGTACTGAAGGATCACAAAACTGCCATAGCTTGGAGCATTGCAGATATCAAAGGTAAAAATCCAGCTGCATGTATGCATAGCATT